ATGCTAAGCTACAGCTAAAAGTGCTACCGCCAGACCCGGAGATCAGCTGAATGGATTCAAAAACGGTAAAACTGAGCTGTTTAACTCTAGGGGAGTTGGAAAATGAGCCTATTTTCAAAAATAGTGGAGTGTTCCTCCTTTAAGTCTTGTTTTCTGAAAAATCTATCAAAATTATACACTGGAAGCAGTTCCGGGCGGATGACCTCTGAGGTCAGCGCTGAGCATGCGCCAGTGAGTCTAAAACAAGAAAAAATATCTGCCAATGGGGCAAGAAAAATAATCTTGTTTTCCCTTTGAATTAAGTGTATTTTTCTCACCTCACTGACAGATTTTTCTTTCTTGTTTTAAGCATAGTCACTTAAAAAAATTTTTTTTCAGAAAACAAGGCTTAATATCTTAAGTCATTTTGCTTCTCAAGTAAATGTATCTTGATTTAAGAAATTTGATATATTTGTACTAAAAAACTGACAAATTACTGTGTAAGAAATTTTTATTTTTTATTTTTTGCAGTGTGAAATGGTAGAGCATGGCACTAGCAATGCCAAGGTCATTCCCAGGGAAAGCAAGAACTGGTAGAATGTAAATATGTACCATAAATGTAAATGTAAATCTAATAATTAGGATGATAGTCAGAGAGATGTGCAATAAATTTCTGCCTTTATACACCAATTTTACATAAATGCTAAAAACATTTCTGGTAAAAATTCACCAAGAAATATTCAGATCTGCATTCAGTCTGGCAGAATTATCTGTCAATATGGAGTGCTGCTTGAATGAGTTCTAAAACCTGGAAATGAGTTTTTGCACTTGCGTTTCTATCTTCCCAAAGTCAATAGGTTTTTTGAATGGATTTTTGGTTAAATGCCTGAAATATGGTCTGTGCTTAAAACAAGCTCAAGATATTTTCACATTTTATTAACTTAATAAAATAAATCAGAAATACCCCACTTGTGATTTTTTAAGCTTTTATGGATCTTGGTTAAGGCAGTTGCTAACAAGTGGCTAAATGGGACTACAGAGGTTATTAGGGACATTAAATAGCATCACGTCAAAATATAAATTTTTTTACACCCTTTCCAACTTTTAAATAGAGTTTGAAAGAGATGTCAGTAAACTTAATGGTGGTGACAATGAAGTCATGTGACCAAGATGTAGCTCATTTATAGTGTAACTTTAGCTTTTTGCTTCTGGTTGTTTGTATGTAGGCTTCAAAATTCATAAAAAGTTGTGTTCATTTGTGAAGATTTTCTTAATGAACAAAAAAATGTAAGAATCATAGACTTTTGTTGGTTATTGGCCAAAAGCCAATTTTGTTGAGGGAAAGAGGTTGATGCTAACCGCTGTATCTACAAGGACTTTAATGAATCCGCAATGGACAATGATAAATTAGTGCAATGAGTTTAACAGTTTATTCCTGCTTGTGGCTGTTTTTAATGAATAATGCATGTGTTTATGTCTTTAACGCTGACCTCTGTCCACTTAATCTGCTTCACAGTGAATGAATGAAGCAGTCTTCTGTTAAAATTGGATATAGATTTCAGGGGAATGAAAACTTTTCAACAGCAACCCATTTAAAATTTACTTAGTAAGCTTCTTTGCAGAGGCAAACATTTACTATTATAAAAGCCCTCAGCTCAGCTGGCGGTTACGGATGAAAGCGTGCAAGAGGCCTTTAGTCTTAAGAAGCCCTTAACATTCTCTTAGGGCAAACTCTCAACCTCGCTCAGGTTTCAGCCTTTGTTAGCACTGTCGAGTGCATTCTTCCATGAGAGTTTAACAATTAATCCAGACAAATGGTGATTGAATGGGCTGTTTATTGCAATCAACTGTGCTGACACAGTGATGTTTACACTACAGGGCCTTTTTCACCAGTCCCTCATATCAGCACGACTAAATGCATTGGGATGAGACTTAATTCTGGGAATCTCTGCTATCCATTGTGAAAAATATGTGTGTGCTTAATTGTATTGAATGAGCACTTGTAGTGTACTTCAAATCTTAGAAGTATATTTTAAAAAACAAACTTGCAGATAATGCATAAAACATTACTGAAATAAAAGGCCACTTAAGTGTACTTAAAGAGAGTACACTGCAAAAAAATAAATAAATATATATATAAACACAATAAATAAATAAAAAATAATACAAAATTTACTCAGTATTTTTGTTATGTTTTTAGTACAAATATCTAAACATTCTTAAATCAAGATACATTTATTTGAGAATAAAAATATTTATATTAATATATTAATTTATATGAAATCTTGTTTTCTGAGGAAGTAAAAACCATCAAAATTAAGTGAGTTTTTGTTTAAAACAATAAATAATATCTGCTGATGTGGTAAGAAGGCAAGATAAGACGATAATTTTTCTTTCTCAATTTTAAACATAAAATGACTTAATTTTGATACATTTCTCAGAAAACAAGACTTAATATTATTTTGTTTAGATATTTGCCCTGGAAAACAAGACAAAAATAGTCAACAAGAAAATCATTTTTTGCAGTGTTCACTTTCATTACTGTTTCTTAACACTTAAGTACACTTCTAAAAAGTTTATAATGATGTGAAATGAAAAGTTGTAGACTACATTTTAAATCATGATTTTAATAATCTTTTGTTGTGCTTTAAAGAAGAACACTTATTTTTTTGATGCTAAAGCACATGTAAAGTACTTTATTATAAATTAAATTTAACTGTAGTGTGTTATTCAGTATGTTTAAAGTTCATATATTTTAAATGTACTATACTGCAGCTTCATAATTAAAAATGTATTTTTACAAATATATTTAAAACAAGTTTCAATAGGAATTACATAATAACGTAGATTTTAGTTCACATAAATGTTTATCAGTACATTCGGCAGTACACTTTGACCATATTTCAAAGATAATTTCAAAGTAATTTTGAAATGACATATAAAGACGTACTTAAGTACTACTTAAGTAGGTCAGCATTTTTAAAATCAATTTTAAGTTCAACTAACTTCATTTAATCTAGATTTAAGCTATAATTCATTTTCATTTAATTGCCCATAACATGCACTTAAGTATTTGAAAACATTACATTCAGTTTACACTTAAGTATATTATTGTGAGATATATTATTTCCTCAATAAGTTTTTTTTAAGTATACTAAAGTGTACTTCTTTTTCACAAGGGATATATGCATCTGTGAGTGTGCTTACAGAAACAGTTCACTCAAAAATTGAAATTGTGTAATTATTTCACATGACGTAATTGTTTGGTTGAAAATGAGATGTGTCACTGCTGAAAAGCCCATTATTATGATTTTTATGAATACCATATGAATTATGGCTGATGATTTTGCAGTCGAGGATCCATTCTTGGTGGTGGTGAGAGACAGCATCATTTACGGCATCCCTCTCAACCCGAATGACAAGAGCAATGATGCCATGGTGCCGGTCGCCGGGCTGCTGAATGGATATGACGTCGACTTTGATGATGCTGAGCAGATGATCTACTGGGTGGAACATCCGGTAAATCTTACCTATCTCAAATGATTAAAACAACTAGTTAACAGGTGTTTTGAATGCTAAAATTAGGTTTTTGTCTATTACCTGTATCTCATTTATCTGCACAGGGTGAGATTCATCGAGTAAAGTCAGATGGTACCAACAGAACTGAGTTTGCACCAGCGGCCATCCTGGGTTCTCCGGTCGGACTGGCTCTGGACTGGATGTCCCAGAACCTGTACTACTCTAACCCTGCATCACAGTCGATAGAGGTTAGCAAGACTTCAGGTCTCATTCCCTGCATCATAGTTTGTTCTTGTCAGGGCTGAGGGTTATTTCTACATTCTGAAGATTACTAAAGAATAGTTAAAAGCACATAACAAAATGACTAAAACTTAAACTAAAATGAAAATGAAAACGGCAAATATAAAAATAAATGCTAATTCAAAATAATAGTAAATGCTATAGTACTATATAAGTGTGACCCTGGACCACAAAACCAGTCTTAAGTCTCTGGGGTATATTTGTAGCAATAGCCAAAAATACATTGTATGGGTCAAAATTATTGATTTTTCTTTTATGCCAAAAATCATTAGGATATTAAGTAAAGATCATGTTCCATGAAGATATTTTGTCAATTTCCTACTGTAAATATATTAAAACTTACTTTTTGATTGGTAATATGCATTGCTAAGGACTTCCTTCGGACAACTTTAAAGGCGATTTTCTCAATATTTAGATTTTTTGCACCCTCAGATTCCAGATTTTCAAATCGTTGTATCCCGGCCAAATATTGTCCTATCCTAACAAACCATACATCAATGGAAAGATTATTTATTCAGCTTTCAGGTGATGTATAAATCTCAATTTCGAAAAAATGTACTCTTATGACTGGTTTTGTTATAAATAATTTTGTTACAAATAATACTAAAATAACAATGTTAAAAATGACATTTTCAATGAAAATCATAATTTTTTCGGTACATAAATAAATAAATGTAATGCCTATATTTGATGAGGTATTACTGTAAACACTGTCAGTTTGTCTCGAGTAAATGTAAACAGGCAGAACTAAAATATAAATAATATATGCAATATATAATATAATATATACTGTATGTGAAATATTAGACCTGTACATTAGGTTTCAATTTCTGAATATTTACTTGAATACTTGGTACTGCTACTTGGTGAAAAACGTTTTATTGTTTTTCTTTGTTTTATTGATTTGTAATCTTTTTTCTTTGTTCATTACTTATTTTTTGTTATTTATTTGAATTATTACTTGAACAACCTGAGGAAATATTACATCATTTAGAATTTTTTAAATTTGTTAAACCTTACTCTTTTTTTTTTACATTTTAAATACTTAACTTTTTAATAAAAAAAGTTTATTAAACCTGGGTTAAAATAGTGATGCTAAATACTATTTTTATTTGAATAAAACCAGTTAATCCAGATGTTACCATTTTTAGTGCAGCATACCAGTTTTGCTACTGTATAGAAAGTGGTATTTATAATTAAGAAATTTCGCGGGTACTGTTATTATGACAAACCCAATTTGATTTGTTTCAGGTTCTCAGGCTAAAAGGAGAAAATCAATACAGAAAGACTCTCATCACTAACAACGGCTCACCTACTGGTGCAGGAGCTCCCGTTGGCATTGCGGTGGATCCGGCACGTGGGTAAGTCCAGATAAGTAGAGGTCTGGCATTAACCCTGATCACCAAATTCAACAAGCTCCAGCCGATTTAATTCCATCTGCCAGGACTGAACTGCCTGAGCATGCTAAACACCAGTTAACATAAAGTACACATAGTCATGATCAGTCCTTAGAATATATGTACTTGTAGAAGCATGAAATTGCTGTATTTGTATACAAACGCAGATGCAAAAGAGCAGTATTTCCTATATGCTATGTTTTGCATACATGCGATTCTGTTTAGTGATGTTCTGTCTTTGTTTTAGAAAGATGTACTGGACAGATCAGGGAACAGAGAGCGGGATCCCTGCCAAGGTGGCATCGGCAGATATGGACGGCTCCAACGCGGCCATCCTCTTCACCCATAATCTGGAACATGTGGAGTTCATAACTATAGACATCAGAGAGAACAAGCTCTACTGGGCTGTTACAGGAACTGGCGTGGTACGGCAGTCAGAAACGTTAAAGGGATAGTTCACCCAAAAATGAAAATTAGCCCATTATTTACTCACCCTCAAGCCATCCTAGGCGTATTTGACTTCCTTCTTTCAGATGAATCCAATCGGAGTTATATTTTTAATATAACTCCGATTGGATTCGTCTGAAAGAAGAAAGTCATATACACCTAGGATGCCTTGAGGGTGAGTAATTCATGGGCTAATTTAAATTTTTGGGTGAACTAACCCTTTAATGTAGTTGCATGCATTGATTAATTAAGAATTAATTGGCATATACAATATATAGGATTTTTTTTTTTTTTGAAAGAAGTCTCTTTTGCTTACCAAGGCTGCATTTCAAAAATAACTGTTTTCTATTGTTTCAGATCGAGCGCGGCGATCCCGATGGATCAAACCGCATCACTATGGTGAATGGACTGTCCCATCCATGGGGTGTGGCCGTATACGACTCCTACCTGTACTTCACAGATCGAGACTTTGAAGTGATTGAACGCGTCGACAAAGCCACGGGACTCAACCGGGTTGTAATGCGGGATAACGTGGCCGGTCTGAGAGTACTCAAAGTACACTACAGAGACTGTGAGTATAATAAAAACTAAAAATACTTATAACATAATGGCTCTGTTCCAAAACCTAGTAAGCTTTCTTGTTGTCTATTACCTTCATAGGCTGCTTCCTACGGAGCCTCGCACATGGCATGCAGGAAAAAAATAGTAGGCTAAATTGTGTGCACGATTTACTATTTCGTTCCCTCGATTTTTAAATTGTGCACACGATTTACTAATTAGTTCCCTCGATGTACTAAAACGTGCACACGATTTACTAATTCGTTCCCTTGATGAACTAAAACGTGCACACGATTACTATTTTGTTCCCTCGATTTATAAATTGTGCGCACGATTTACTAATTCGTTCCCTCGATTTGCTAAATCGTGCACACGATTTATAAATTGAGAGAACGAATTAGTAAATTGTGCACTCGATTTAGCAAATCGAGGGAATGAAATAGTAAATTGTACGCACAATTTATAAATCGAGAGAACGAATTAGTAAATTGTGCGCACGATTTAGCAAATCGAGGGAATGAAATAGTAATTGTGTGCACGATTTAGTACATCGAGGGAACAAATTAGTAAATCGTGCGCACGATTTATGTATTTTTTCTTGCATGTCATGTGCGGGGCTCCGTAGCTTCCTTCTGAAATTGGATGAAAAAACAATTCTCTAAAAAATTTGATGAAAAAACAAGTCTCTAGATAGGCAGTAACTCAATGCATCATACAAATAGCTCCTCCTACGCAAAGCACACAGAAGATGCACAATTGATTTCAATGGGGTTTGGTGTTAGCATGTTGCTAAGCTAACAACATGAACTCTAACTCTAACATGAACTCTTTCTAAGCAAAAAAAACTTCACATCACACACAAATATAGTCATTTATCAAGCCATTATACAGCTTTATGCAGTGGTAGCATGCTGCTAAGCTAATGAACTCTAATAAACAACTCTAAAAAAAAAACTCTATGAACTCTAAAAAACATAAAACTACACATCACACCCTCATGTTGGGTAAAATAGGCAATTTTTTATTAATTTAAATTCAATTTAAAGTACTTTATTGGCATGATTTTTTTTACATATAGTTTTGCCAAATCATTATACAGAAAACAAGTAATGACAAGAAAAATGCATCTCACGGTGCAATTTTTTGAGCATTCATCTCTGATTCATTCTGCGGTTGACGTAGGGTGGTCTTTTCTTGAAGTCATCATAACCTTGATGGCCGTGTAGCAATTACCAGAGAGGGATGAATGACTTTCAATAGGATATCAGTTTACCAATTAGTTCCCCTCTGCCTCGGGGACACTCAGCTTTATGCGGAGAAGAATCAGGGTCCCTTTGTTCGGTGTTCAGTGCACATGTTCATTCTCCAGGGCTGTGAACGCCGTCTATTGTATAAGTCCATCCAGTAAGATCTGGAAGTGCTTGCAAAGCAGAGTCCCAATATATCAGTACTGCTACACACTGATATGCACCAGGAATGTGTACACATTGCCAAAATAGATAGGTATGAGTCAGGATCATGTACTCTTATGGTTACCTATTTGCAGCATTATATATCTGTTTCTCATTCTCTTTATCTGCCGTCTGTCTGTCTGTCTGTAGCCTCAGCAGGATCATCTAACGGCTGCAGTAATAACATGGGGATGTGTGAGCAGTTGTGTCTGCCTCGTCCCGGTGGCTTGTTCAGCTGCGCCTGTGCGACTGGGTTCAAACTCAGTGCTGATAACAGAACCTGTTCTCCATACCAATCCTATGTGGTGATCTCTATGCTCACTGCCATCAAGGGCTTCAGTCTGGAGGGAGCGGATCACTCGGAGTCTATGGTGCCTGTAGCAGGCAGAGGTGGGTTTCAGTAGGACTGGGTGGTATTGTCTGTCTATCTATCTCTCTGTATATATATTTATATTTATATATATTTTTTAATTATTTTATGTGATATTTATTCTTCATACTATAAATAAATAAAAAAAGTATTATTATTTTGTAATAAAAAGTAATAAATATTCTTATTTATTATTTAGAAAAAGTAATATATGTAATAAATACTATATAATTTTTTAGGATAAATTAGCAACTCATTTTTGTTACTAATATTTAAGTCAGAGACACTATTAAAGCTTTACAGCCAAATAAAAAGCACATTTGTTCACAATGTTGCTTTATTATATATTGCTAGCATAATTTTGTATGTGTCTGTGTGTGTCCTGTAGGCCGCAATGCTCTTCATGTAGACGTGCACATGCCTTCCGGTTTCATTTACTGGTGTGACTTCAGCAGCACCGTGGCGTCTCAGAACGGAATCCGCCGGATCAAACCGGACGGATCTGGATTCCGCAGCATTGTCACCTCTGGAATCGGACGTAATGGCATACGAGGCATTGCTGTAGACTGGGCCGCAGGTGAGGGGTTTTATGTTGAAATCAGATGTGGTAACTTTGGTTGACTCTGGTCATACAGTACAATTGTGACGATGTGATTGAAACAAACTTGTCCACATTCTAAAACTAGTACTTCCAAAGGAATGTGAAGACTAATGCCAAGTACCTCAGATACACTGGACTCATGGAGTGTTACGTGAGGAATGTTCTAGAGCAGCTTTAGAAGTCAGAATGGTGACAGCCTTAATGTAGGGACATTAACATTAACTCGCATCAGTATAAGCACAGACAGGTGGCGTTAGAGAAGATTAAAGGTTAACATATGACAGAAAAGAGGCTCAGTTGGTCCAGGCCTCAGTGACCCATAGCTTGTTAAACATACACTTTTGACCTGAATATGTGAATAAGCAAGGCTGCCAAATTTAACCTAATTTGCTTTGACAACATTAAAACAACATTATAGTTGTTTTATTCTCTCAATAAATCTCAAAATATATATATATATACACTACCATTTAAATGTCTCTTTTGCTCACCAGAACTGCATTAATTTACAGTAGAAATACAGTAAAATGTTAAATATTATTTTAATTTAAAACAACTGTTTTCTATTTAAATATATTTAAAAATAATTTTATAATTTACTAATAAATATAAATAACTAAACTATAAATTACTATAAAATAATGTATTCCTGTGATGCAAAGCTGAATTTTCAGCATCATTACTCCAGTCTTCAGTGTCACATGATCTTCAGAAATCATTCTAATATGCTGATTTGCTGCTCAAGAAACATTTCCTATTATTATCAATGTTGAAATCATTTGTACTGCTTAATATATTTGCGGAAACCATGATACATTGTTTTTTCATTATTCTTTGATGAATAGAAAGTTCAGAAGAACAGTATTTGTTTGAAATAGAAATCGTTTGAAATCATTATAAATGTCTGTACTGCCCAATTTTAGGTAATAAAAGCATGAACAGCCATCTCTAGAGTTTTATGATTTAGGAAAGGTTTGATTTTTGACGACAGACGAAGTTGATAAAAACTAGAGCCTATTACAGAAGAAATGTGTTTGTCAAGGTCATGCGATTTATCGTGCAGCCCTACTGGGGACTATTTTCAGGCGTCTATTTTCACATATTGTTCTTTTTTGTTCTTATTATTTGACTCTCTATGACAAGGTTCATAAAGGACTATAACTTGACATGCCATCTTTGAAATGCAACTCTCATGCACTCACTTTCACTAATGGTGAAACTAGTACTAGTACTAGTGCATATGTACATAGATAAACAAAGTGTTTAGTCCTTAATCTCTCAAAGCAACATTAAGTGTCCGGGTTTACCAAATATTGTGTCTCGTCTTTGTCTTTCCACAGGAAACCTCTATTTCACCAATGCCTTCTTGACTGAGACGTACATTGAAGTGATTCGACTCAATACCACGTTCCGTCGTGTTCTTCTCAAGACCCAAGTAGACATGCCTCGTCATATTGTGGTGGCTATTTTTGAAAATAGGCTCATTTTCCAACTCCCCTATAGTTAAACAGTTGAGTTTTACCGTTTTCGAATCCATTCAGCCGATCTCCGGGTCTGGCGGTAGCACTTTTAGCTGTAGCTTAGCATAGATCATTGAATCTGATTAGACCGTTAGCATCTCGCTCAAAAATGACCAAAGAGTTTCTATATTTTTCCTATTTAAAACTTGACTCTTCTGTAGTTACATCGTGTACTAAGGCCGACGGAAAATGAAAAGTTGCGATTTTCTAGGCCGATATGGCTAGGAACTATACTCTCATTCCAGCGTAATAATTAAGGAACTTGCTGCCGTACCATGGGTGCTGCAGGCGCAATGATATTACGCAGCGCCTGAAAATAGGCTTATTGGAAGTTACCTAGCTGGGGACTATGCACTATGCACTAGATGGATATCTACACTTTTCAGCCTCTTGCACCATTAGTGAAAGTGAGTGCATGAGAGTTGCATTTCAGATAGCAGCAGTTGTGTGGTATCCCGGGATGACTACCTTATCTATACGACCGAAAGCACTGTACGATCTCTGCGGCTGGATCCAGAGGATCATTCTCTGCCCTTTCCCGTGGTTAACGTGCCCCGGACTTCGGTAGCCCTTGATTTCGACCGGTTGGACGGAAGGATCTATTTCACCCAGAGCTCGGGAGCGGGCCAGAGCAAGATTAGCTTCATTACTTTGGCTTCACCTACCTCTCCTGCGACAGAGGTGGCCTCAGGTGAGCAGCTTATTTAAGCTCCTAATGCACCCTGACACTGCAGGTTCAGCTAGAAAGTTCATTAAGGCAATCTTTGAATGTTGGCTTGACAAAGTATGTCGCATGACATTTACAATGGTTAGTTTGCAGACTGGAGGTTATTTAGGCCTTATGTACCATGTAAGCAAACTTGTTCTTTTATTGTGAAATATTAAAAAAAGTAATAAAGTGTGAGAGAAGTTATTTGTTTCTCAAGCAGAAAATTCACATGTTTGTTAATGTCATTTTAGGTTTGAGCAGATCAAATGTTCAGTTCTGGAGTTATTTAGGATCATGTCTATTGTCAGAGTCACTGTAAAATTTGTGCAAAAAAATGTACAAAAGCTGTTTGATAAGCCCTGATACGCCCTCAAAGTGTTGTAAATAATTATTTCAAATATAATATAATGTAATATAACATAATGCAGTCAGTGCTGGGTAGTAACTGATTAGATATAATCTGTATTATGTAATCAGATTCCAAAAATTAAGTACTTGTAATCATATTTATATTTATGTTTAAAATGCTCATAATCAGATTACAGTCACTTTTTTATAGATTATATATTATTCACACAATGGCAGTAAATGGTTCATAATTTGATTTGCCCTAATTCTTCTTTTTTTTCTTTCTTGAAAATTTTCTTTCTAAAATTCTACCGCTTTTATACATTTGGAAAGTCTTCCAGCTTTTCATCAACTCCCAAACCACCTGTAGTTTATTTATGAACCCTAGTTTGGGTAACCCTGGCATAATGTAATGTTTAATAGACTTCATGATGTTGATAACAAAGAATGGAATATATTTTCGGTCAAAAGTAGTCAATACATTACCTAATATGTGTAATCCAGTACGTTACAAACTATAATTTCCATAATGTAATTTGTAATCAGTAACAGACTACAATTTGTAAGTAATCTACCCAGCACTGAATATAATATAATACAATACAATACAATATAATATAATAAAAAACAATAAATCAAATGCAACTTGAAGACTGGTCTGCAACATGCAACATGATTTTGGTATTTTATAGCAATATTCTGCATTTGAAAAGATGGGTTGCATAAGTATTTGCAGCTAGCCACAACACTGCCTGATTGCTCAAGCACACAGATGAATACAGTACAACAACCAAATATAATGATTAAAACTGCTGATAACCACATTAAATTAGAATTAAGCAAAAATAAGATTTAAAGGGATAGTTCATAATTCTGTCATCATTTACTTCACCTCATGTTGTTCCAAACCTGTATGAGTTTCTTTCTTCTGTTAAGCACAAAAGAAGATATTTTGAAGAATGTTGGTAACCAAACAATTGACAGTAGCCATTGACTTCCATAGTATTTTTTTTCATACTATAGAAGTCAATGGCTACTGTCAATTGTTTGGTTACCAGCATTCTTCAAAATATCTTCTTTTGTGTTCAAGAGACAAAACCTAGGAACAACCTGTGGGTGAGTAAATTCTGACTGAATTTTCATTTTTGGGTGAACTATATCTTTAATGTTGTATCTGTAATTATAATCCAGAAATATATTTATTTCTTCAAGCGGGCTTAAAAAGGTCATTTCATACATTCATCAATATGTGGTTGCTAAGGTGTAGGTTGTTGCTAGGCAGTTTCTAGGTAAGTTCCTAAAATGTTCTGAATCGTTTCTAAGCAGTTGCTAAGCATTTACTGTGGTTGCTAGGACCTTGCTAGATGGTTGCTACTTTGTTATGGGTGGTTGCCAAGATGTTGCTAAGTGGTATCTAAGGCTTTACTAAGCATTTTCAGAAGTGTTCCAAATGGTTACCAGGTGATTCCTGGTGAAGGTGTTTCTGAGTAACTAAGGCTGTTGCTAGGCGATTATTAAAGTGTTCTGAGTGGTTGCTAGGCAGATTTTTGCTACTTGTAAAGTTTTATAGCTATGTATTTTTGAACGTTTTCTTCTCTGTGGAGATCTGGGAGCTCCTGATGGCATCGCCTATGACTGGATCAATAAGAGGATCTATTACAGTGACTATATTAACCAGAGCATCAGCTCCATGGCAGTGGATGGATCTCAGAGGACTGTTGTAGCACAGGTGCCCAGACCCAGAGCTATCATGCTGGATCCCTGTAGAGGGTGAGTCTCCCATTCAGTTAGACTGTGATTTAGATGTTTAATGAGGCATTTTATCATATAATTTAAATGCATTTCTCTTCATATGCGGTCAGGTATATGTACTGGACCGACTGGGGAACCAACGCAAAGATAGAACGTGCAACTCTGGGAGGAAACTTCAGGACAGAGATCGTCAACACTAGCTTGGTTTGGCCAAATGGTCTGACGCTAGACTATGAGGATCAAAGGCTGTACTGGGCAGATGCCAGCTTGTAAGATCTCATCTTTTCGTCTTTATATCTATATCTATATATATGTATATCTATATAATATATAATATTTATAATTTAATTTAATTGTATAATTTACCTTTAATAATAAAATAATAATAATCAAATAAATATATAATAATATTTACTTATATAAATTTAGCTATATTTGAAAAATACTACTCTCTGTCTTTCTATTTTTTTCATATCAGACACTTTTGGTATTATTAATTAGCAACACTTCATCTGCAATGTTTGGGCTACATAATTTTAAGAAAAGGTCTACTGTTCTCTCTATGCAGACAGAAGATTGAGAGATGCTCACTCACCGGCACTAACCGTGAGGTCATCGTAAGCACCGCCATCTACCCGTTTGCAATGACAGTGTACGATCAGCATAATATATATATATATACATATATATATACATATATATATATATATGTGTGTGTGTGTGTGTGTGCGCGTGTGTATGTATGTATACATATACATATATTTTATTAATATTTAATTATCAAGATAAGAATCAATATAATTGGTACGGTTCTAATATTTGGACCCATATTTAAAATTAAAGAGATCATATGATGTTGCTAAAAAGAACATTATTTGGTGTAATGAAATGTGTTTATGCGGTTTAAGGTTTAAAAAACACATTATTTTCCACATACTGTACATTATTGTTTCTCCTCTATGCCCCGCCTTTCTTAATTGTATAATTTACCTTTAATAATAAAATAATAATAATCAAATAAATATATAATAATATTTACTTATATAAATTTAGCTATATTTGAAAAATACTACTCTCTGTCTTTCTATTTTTTTCATATCAGACACTTTTGGTATTATTAATTAGCAACACTTCATCTGCAATGTTTGGGCTACATAATTTTAAGAAAAGGTCTACTGTTCTCTCTATGCAGACAGAAGATTGAGAGATGCTCACTCACCGGCACTAACCGTGAGGTCATCGTAAGCACCGCCATCTACCCGTTTGCAATGACAGTGTACGATCAGCATATCTACTGGACGGACTGGAACACACGCAGCATCTACCGTGCAAACAAGCACGACGGCTCCGACCAGAGAGTGATGCTACAGAACCTTCCATCACGGCCCATGGACATCCACGTGCTCTCCAACAGCAAACAGCAGCAGTGCAGCAGTCCCTGCGAACAGTTCAATGGTGGATGCAGCCATATTTGCACTCCAGGTTGGTTTATATTTCAAAACAATAAGCTTTTGCAATACTACTTATGGCTTTTACAGCCAGTATCCTCCGAAACCAAAGCTCTTTTCCCAAATTAGTGACTAATTTATAATAATTACACATATGTATATATATATATATATATATATATACATATGTGTAATTATTATAAATTAGTCACTAATTTGGGAAAAGAGCTTTGGTTTCGGAGGATACTGGCTGTAAAAGCCATAAGTAGTATTGCAAAAGCTTATTGTTTTGAAATATAAACCAACCTGGAGTGCAAATATGGCTGCATCCACCATTGAACTGTTCGCAGGGACTGCTGCACTGCTGCTGTTTGCTGTTGGAGAGCACGTGGATGTCCATGGGCCGTGATGGAAGGTTCTGTAGCATCACTCTCTGGTCGGAGCCGTCGTGCTTGTTTGCACGGTAGATGCTGCGTGTGTTCCAGTCCGTCCAGTAGATATGCTGATCGTACACTGTCATTGCAAACGGGTAGATGGCGGTGCTTACGATGACCTCACGGTTAGTG